GCCTGTGCATGTTGGTATTACTTGTGTTACTCTTGCCAGAGGCCATACTGTCGTAAGCCATGCCTGCCCTCCTATTACATATGAAGTGTGAGGGTGAGGGAGTGCTAAGTGATACACATTTGTATTTGTCGGTGTAATCATCTCTCATAGCCATCCTAGGCCAGGTGATTTCTCATCCTTCGTGTCATTTAATTCCTAGAATCCTAAAAGAATAATAAGAATTTGCAAACCCAATTTTGAGATGTTTATCTTCTAGTAGCTGAAAAGGTGGGTTTATAGGCAGGAAAGATATTTAGCCTCTCGAAGAAACTAAACTGTCAGTAAATTGGCCCACATCTTGCTTGGTGACTTTCTCAAAATGATTTAGATGCATGTGTTTGACTTCTAAAACACAAGATAAATAAGTCTCTACTCCTGAGAGAAGTACGCCCAATTCCACTATTTGATCTCACCATCAGAGAGAGACTCTCAAAATCTGGTCACCACAAATGCACTTAAATGAGTTTCAGAGGTTATTTTTATCTTTTCATTTTTGTTTTTGTGCTTTACACAAGTGCAGTTAACTAAAGGTAATAGTTATAAATATACCCTTTAGAAGAAATTATTCCTTCTACTTTTTACAGACCCTTTATATTTCTGGTTGTTTATTTGCTGGACCAACCAGCATATAGACCAATGGGCTCCAACATATAATTTCATTTTAGTGCTCTGATGTATAATTTCATCCTAGAATCACAAGAAGGAATAGCAGACATTTTACATGAAGATTATGTTCCAGAATAGCAGTTGCTTAGAACTCTCTAAGCAACTGGAAAGTTTAAATAATAATAATGGACCAGGACTTCTTCATAGCTTGTGGTGTGAGTCTTGCACCAAAACATATAGAAAGAGCAAGAGGTTCCAAAGTCTGTTTTGTCCATCCTTCAGCAAAGTTCGGCCCTCCTGTTGAATATCATTGGGTCCCTTAAGGTTTACAGAATGGGGATGGGGAGTGAGGGATGGAAGGCACTGCTCACTTGCTCTCTCCTCGCGACATGCTCTGTCCACTTGCAGAGGGGCTCTGGGGACGGAGTAGAAACAGGCTGTGGTGTGTCCTGAAGAACATAAAGGGAGCTTGGAACAGGAAGGTTGTGTGAAAAATTCTTGAGGATAAGCTGCCCACTCTGTAGGGATATTCGGTAGAGGGGCTCCAGCCAAAGTGGCCAGAGCCCTTTGCAGAGTACCAAAAACAAAACAAAAAAAAAAACCTTGAAATTCTGCATTGAGCTTTGAAAGGTTTCTGCCATAATCATCATTTATTTCGTGCCCATGGTTGATACGAGGAGGAAAATGTAATTTTTTTCTAAGTCTAAAAGGATCTGAAGGGTTTTAATATTGGCTAAATTAATTATAACAAGAGTAAGGAAGTGTTAACTGTCACAGAATATCATATAAATCATTGCGCAAGTTAAATATTGTACAATTTCCTATAATAAATAGCACAATGAGTGCACACTATTTCCTTTGACAACAAGTAAACAAATGTTCTATTACCCAGGTTAAAGACTCGATAAAATTGGGCATTGTGACAAAGGAAATTTTAAAAGGCAGTTCCTTCCATACAAATGAATCAATTTTATAACGAGCGTTTAATTTTTTTTAGTCTTCTAGGCATTTGTTATAAACCCCACACTACATTGTTATTAATTTTGTTTAAAGAGTCCATTACCTTTTCAAAGATTTAGATAATAAATCTTTAAAACTTACTCACAGGTTTTGTTTTTTTCTTTCAGTATAGATGTTAGTCCATTGTCTCCTCGCTTGGATTATTTCTGATGAGAAAACTGCTGCCTTCCTTATCTTTGCTTCCTCTGTCTGTAATGTGTCTGTTCTCTGGCGTATTTTAAGAGTTTTTTCTTATCATTGGTATTACATAGTATCTTTTCGATGTGCCTTGTTATAGTTGTCTTTATGTTTCTTATGCTTGGGGTGTGTGGAACTTCTTGAAACAAAGTTTTCTTTAAAAGATTTCATCCAGTGCTGCTCCTACTTTTCGTGATATTTCAGTTACCTATAAATTCTGCTACCCAGAGTGGTGCCACAGCTCAGTGATGCTCTTTTGATTTTTTAAATTTTTACTCTTTTTTTTTTTTTTATCTCTGTCTTTAATTTGGGATAGTTTCTATGGCTATGTCTTCAATTTCACCAATCTTTTCTTCTGCAATCTCTAAAATGTTTTTAATCCCATCCAGCATGAATGTTACCTAAGAGATTGTAGTTTTCACCTCTAGAATTTCAATTTGAATATATTTTAATATCTTACGATCTCCACTTAGCATATTTAATTTCTCTTCTAGCTTCTTGAACATATGGATTTTAGTCATAATTGGTGTTTTAATGTTCTTGTTTGCTAATTCTAACATCTGTGTCAGTTTTAGGTTGGATTCGATTGATTTTTCTTTTCTCTATGGGTCATATTTTCCTGCTTCATTGCATGCCTGGTATTTCTTGTTAGATGCCAGATAATGTGGATTTTACCTCGTGGGTGCTAGAGAGTACTATATTCCTATAAATATTCTTGAATTTAGGTCTGGGACACAGTTGAATTACTTGAAAATAGTTTGATCCTTTCAGATCTTGCTTTTAAGATTTGTTAAATGAGAACAATGCTCAGCACTAATTATTCCTCACTCTTGAGGCAAGACCCTTCTGAGTACTCTATCCTGCCAGTTATGAGGTTTCAGAATCTGGCTGGAATCTGGAGCATGCACTATTCCAGGCCTGGGACAGTGTTGGACACTGTGTTTTCTAATCCTTCCCAATGTTTCTTTCCATAATCTTTAGTGTTTTCCCACATGTATGAGCTGATGGCTACTCAACTGGATACTCAAGAGGGCCCCTCTAGAATTCCGTGTGCAGCTCTCTCTTCTCTCACCCTCCTCTGCCAACTTTAGCTGACTCAGTCTTTCCAGACTTTTAGTTCTGTCTCCTCAACTTGGGGAGTAGGCAGTTTCAGCCTGGGTTTATCCTCCCTACACTATGGCCTATAAACGCTCTCAGGGCAGGAAGCTGGGTGACCGTAGGCCTTGCATTATTCGTTCCTGCCTCTCAGGGACTGCTGTCTTTAATTATCTGAAACCATATTTTCATATACTTCTTGAAACCATATTTTCATATACTTTGTCCAGTTTTTTAGTTGTTTTTGGTGAGAGGAAAAATCTAGTTTCTGTTACTAGAAGCAGAAGTCTTATCTAGGTCTCTGACTGGTAAATATTTTCCATAATTTATCTATAACTATGTAACAAGAAGTAACACACATTGTTTCCTCAGAGCTTAGCTCGAATCTCCTCCATCTCTCTAGGATTCAGCTACTAAAAACTTACATCCTCTGAGTTTAGCTTTTCATTTTATTTGAAGCAAATTAATGAATATAGAGTTTATAAGTTTTAATTCTACAAAGCTAAGCTTCTTCCTAATTATATTGACTGTGAGGTGAGGTCGTTGGGATCTCGGCTGGGTAGACCACCTCTGGAACCATGTCTCCACCAACTGTCTTTGCCCAGATATGTGGACAGTTAAAGCTGGTAGGTGGCAACCTGATGGACGAGGGGCTGCAGCCCTTGTTAGCCCTTGAAGGATGGACCTAGAAAACATAAGCAGAGGCTGGATTGCTTCTTTGTTTTTTCCTTTGAACTCTTCTACAGCAGCTAGTTCTTCAAGCAAAGGCAACTTCCTTATCTCTCACTTCAGGAGCAGACATACAAGCATTACATCCACTGACCAACAGACCCACCCCCCAGATCCACGCCCAGTCTTTTCTTCCAAGACAAATAAGGCTCCTCCTTCTGTGTCTTGCATTATAAGGAGGCTACGTCCCAAACACCCTCCTCTCAGGAGACTTCCTATTCTAGCCTATACTGTAGTGTAGCTAGAAGCATTTCTCATTAGAGAAGAGGAAAAAACAATCCTACAATTTAATCTTTAGCAGATCGACCCCCTAGTAGCTAACCATTTCCCCATCCCCCTAACATAACCTCATGTTTATGTCAGAAGTTACAGACGGATTTAGAATTTAAAGATGCTCATGTTTACAGAGTCGTTAGCTGCCCATACATAACATCGTTCTTTCTCGGCCCCTTCCAGCCCCTCGATATGACAAGAGCAGCATCTAAACCCTGAGCATGGACTGGTAGTCATATAAATAGAGGCTATGTGGGTTAGCAATTGGTTCCTATCCAGCATTAGTAAAAAGAAAAAGAATATATATGTCTTAGTCCATTTGGATTGCTGCGACAGAATACCAAAGACTGAGTGGCGTAGAAACAACAGACATTTATTTCTCATGGTTCTGAAGACTAGAAGTCTAAGATCACGGCGCCAGCAGATTTGGCGTCTGGTGAGGACCTACTTCCTGGTCCATAGACGGTCATCCTCTAGCTGTGTCCATGGTGGTAGGGGCAAGAGAGCTCTCTGGATTCTCTTTTGTAAAGGCACGAATCCCATTAATAAGAGCTCAGACCTCATTACCACATAACCTCCCAAAGGCCCCACCTGCTAACATTATCACCTTGGGAGTTAGAATTTCCACATTTAAACTTGGAAGGGACACAAATATTCAGTTCATTGCAATATATATATACACAATCAGATATATCAATTTTGGGTTCGATCGTTTGTTAACATGATATTTAAGGCATATGCATTTCCTTCTGGAATTTCTTCCCCTTAGTCAAGATGCATCTCACAATCATCCCGTGAATTAATTTTATGACCTGTCAGTTCCTCTTCCTTTGTTTCATGTTTTACTCCATGTATGAGGAAACCAGTGACGCAATTTTCCATGGACTCTCTGCCATTTGAGGGGAAAAAAATCCTCGGAATCACCTGATCCACTTATACGTCCACGTAGGGGGCGTTTACTGAGGATCGACGCGTGCTGACACATAGAGGGTTCGATCGCAGTCTTGTTGTCCGTCTGTTTTCACTCCGCTCACCCCAGGCCTCCTCATCTCCCTCCCCAGGTGCCACGGTGAACAGAGCCAACAGCTGCCAGTCCGACAGCAGTGGATTTCTGGAGGAGCCACCAGAACCTCCGCCCCCGCAGGTAGGGGGCCCCCACAGGGTTGGGGTAGGATCGAAGGAAGTATAAGTTTACAGTGAGCTGCCACGGTGCTTAGGACACACAGGCCACAGACACCTGAGGGACAGGGGACAACGGTGTCACACTGCACAAGGCGCCGGAAAGCTCAGCATTCCTTTTCCTTTTATCTTCTTTGGATTTTGTTAGACAAAGAAATGGAACCTCATGGGAAGAAGGTCCCTGTTAAAGCAGTGAGCCGATGGAAAACTGAGTTCCTGACCCTTATCTCCAACTTCTAGGCTGGGCTATGATAAGGAAAAAAAACAAAAGCGCTTCTTAAACTGGTGCCTCCCCGACCTTCCTGACTCATTTGCCTTTCTCCCCGTTTCTTCCGCAGCCACCTTCCTGGCCAGGCAGCCAGGGTCCCGCTGAGAATGGATGTCCAAAGCCAAGGGGTCACAGCCAGCACTTAGTGTCATCCCAGGACCGCCAGCAAGAGTCGGACAAGCTTAATTCCAAGATTGTTGTGAGCACAGCTTTTTCAAGTCAAGACTGGAGTGTCTTGGAAGAAAAGGCTTCAACATCTGTGGTGGAGAAAGAGTCTCAGTTTGAGGCCATGGAGGGACCACCAGAACTGTTGACCCCAGACACAGCCACCATTGGGGGAGAACAGCCAAGGAGAGATGGCCGTCCGAGGCCGCAGCTGCCTGGGCCCCAAACGGAACATGAGGCCAGTGTAGGCATGGTTACCTCCAAAGAGGATCGTCTATTCAGGTTTATAATGACTTGTAGCACAGAAGTGAAAGATGGGTTTGTGAGGCCTGAGGGAGTTGGCGAAAGGTATGTGCAAAGCCACCACTGTGAGTCTCTAAGATCACCTGGAACTGATCATGTTCAAGGCCAGCTCCTTCCTGTTGACCCTGAGGCCCCAGGAGAAGCTGAACACAATAAACTCTGTCCTGACATCAACGACACCTTACCAACGTGGGAAGGTTTACCATGGCGTGTCCCCGAGCCCGGTAAAATCACACCCCATACAGTTGACCTTATTCAAGCATCCGACAAGTCCATCCCCCACCTAGATGAGCCGTCCGGAGTTACTACTCCCCAAGAGAAGCCGAGGTGCAGTGTTCTTAGTCAAACACCACCCGGGGCAGAATCTGAAATGGGAGACCTTCCTCCAAATGCTGACGTGAACACTGTCAGCTCCAAGTCAGTGACAGTCCAGATGTCCCCCAATCTGGCATTGGCTGCTCAGAATGCTGTGACTTTGGGGGCTGATTCTAGAAGAACAACTTTCAAATGCACTGTGTATGACCCTGTCACCACAACAGAACCAGGACTGTTGCAAGAAGCAAGACAGCTCACCGATGTTTCTGCTCAGATTTATAAATATGAGCCCAGGTCCTGGCATCACCATTCAGCTCCAAGTAACAGGGAGCAGCCCCTCACCAAATCTGTCTCTCTGGACACAGGCTTCCCTAGAATCTACCCCGTGGACAGCTGCCACGCCGTACCCACCCACTGCTGCCACTGTTATCATGACCACCCCCACTGCCACTCAGAGAGACAGAGCCCCAGCCCTGTGCCTTCAGCCCATAGGCATTGCCTATGCTCACACAGTCATCTGGAAGCCCAGTTCATGAAGGCTTTGAAAGTCCTTCAGGACACTACATTGAGGGAGCTGTGCTCTGTAAGTATTCACCTCTGCAAAGGTGGGGAGGCAGAGGCAGCAACAACAGACACCGCGGGGGTGATATTTGGCCTTCCTGTTCCGAAAGCGAGCTCTCAGAGCGTAGCTTTCCATTGCAGATCGGGAGTAATATTTGTGTAGTGCTTTATTGTTTACGATGGTTTTTCTCACTCGATACTTCCAATCGCCTTGTGAAGTATGGAAGGCAAATGTTATTACTAATTTCCATTTTACAGAGGGATAGAGAATCAAGTCATATGTGAAGTTGTAATCATTAGTGCATCTGAACCTCATCTCCAGTTCAATCGAACTGAACAATTCTGTCCTAAGTTCACTTGGCTGTACAATCTTACGCGAGCCATTTAATCTCTCTGTGCCTAGTTCCTGTTTTGTAAAATAGGGAGATTATTCATGCCACCGAATCAGAATTGTTTTAGGACTAAACGAGAGAAAGCTTGTGAAGCACAGCACACTCAGACCCTCAGCATAGCGCCTGGTCCATAGCAAGCCCTAGGCAATGTGACTTGTGAGGCTGTAACTCTTCTTGCCAGTTGTTGTTACTATTTTATTATTGTTCAGGTCTTGAATCTAGAGCTTCTCATGTCAAATAGACAAACTTTCGGTCTACCTTTGCTAAGCCTGTGTAAAAGCGGACATTGAGGTCACCGAGAACTGAGTGACCCCTATTCCCGTTCAGACCCTGGTAAAGCAACAAGCATTTAATGAGTCCTTTTGGCACCCCATCTTCAGTGATTCTCGAGGCAAAAAGTGATCTAAGCTATCAGGATTAGACGTTGATTAAAACATTAAGAGCATAACACGTGAAACTCTATCTATAAGGAGTGGAAAAGGGTGAGACAGAATGCAGGACTACAGCTGTTCAGAGTGGAGGGCAACTATGACTCCCTGAGCACCTACTGCCCGGTACCTGCCAGGTTATCTCCCTATCCTTTTAATTCCACAAATATTTATTGAGTGCCTATATTAACCACTTTATTGGCATTACATTATTTAACCCTCACTTTTATCCATGCCATAAATATTTATTTAGTGCCTACTGTGTGCAAAGTCCACCCTCTTCTACAGATGAAGAAACTAGAACTGAGAGGGTTCAAGTAATTTTCCAAATGTCCCCCCAGTGACCAAGTGGTAAGTCCAGATTCAAATGCTAATTTAGCTGACACTAAATTCTTGGGCAGGACACTCCAGGCAAAGCTGTGTCCAACTTTAAAATATCTAAATTTATTTGAGTATAAAAGTAACATGAGAAAATAATTATGCGAAAGATAAAACAAATTACGACATGGTCTTTCAACAACTAGACATCTACATAAATGTAATATAAATATAGAAAATAATTACATGAAAGATAAAATCATTGATTACATTATTTTTTCAAATTGCAAGACTCCCAAGAATCTGGGACATTTTTAAATGAGTCATTAACAGAGACTGAACTAGTAAAAGAAGGCGTTGAGATCAGTTCTGGGCATATTCTCCAAAAGTTCAGTGAGAGAAAAGTCCAAAGGCTAATATATAGCTGGGGTTCTTTGGCATTATCGAAAGACCCAGGTTCAAATCCTGGAGAATAATAAGGCATCATCTTCATCTTCATCACTGATATTTATTAAGGGACTTTAAATGCACTAAGGCAGTAGTTTTCAATTAGAAGTAATTTGCCTCGCTGACATTCGGCAATGTTTGGAGCATTCTGGGTTGTCACAACTGAGGAGGGTGCTACTATCTTTAGTGAGTGGAGGCCAGGATGCTGCTAAACACCCGATAATACACAGGACAGCCCCCACCACAAAGAGTAATCCGGCCCAAACTGTTGACAGTGTCAAGGTTGAAAAACTCAGCTCTAAGAGAATAAACATTTACTTGACCACATCGTTCATGGAGAAAATTGTTAGGGATAAGTGATAGCTGGAGGAGGTGATATTTTAAGAGGCTGGAAAAAAACGATTAAATCCTATAATTAGGTACTACAGTTTCCATGATGAAAACCAGGTTGTTGGTCTACTATGTCCTGATAAAAAAGATTATTTTTCTAATTTGCATTTTAAGATAAGCTTTACAAGGATATATAAATTAAACCACATTTAGTTTTATATCTTGTTAAAATAATGAAGTCTAAAAAAATGAAAATTGTGTTAAAAACTTCAGAAGAAATGGTCCTTTTAGACATACCCAATGTCATTCATTTAGTCTAAATGTTGCAGGTATTTATTCCAGAATAAGATACTATCACATCACCACTCTTAAAAACAATATAAATTACTTAATGATTGTGTTAAGAGAAATAACAAACATATATCTATAGTCTAAGAAGTTAGAAGTCTATTGCATCAAATTGTCTTTGGGAAGCACTCTATCATTTAATTTATTAATATTATAATCAAGTATCTATGGAAACAGCTGTATACTGATAATCAATTAGCCTATCATTTATTCAGTGGTATGACTACAAATGAAAAAAGAGGAAAGGGTAATTCAGCCTCCCAGGCACAAAATGAAACTCATCCTACCCAATGAGGTTATTTGGTGTGGTCGAGCCGATGGTGACAAGTCAGCACAGACAAAGGAGATACCTGAGTCCAGAGCGACTCGGTCGTTCAAAGGGTGGGTCTGACTACAGGTGCCAGGAAGATGCCTACTCCATCAGACAAACCATGCCATCCAGAAAGCATGGCTTATCAATTAGTGCAGCCCAGCAAAACCGTTAATATAAAAGATTTTATGTAAAGTGAAAAGGGTTTTAAGGTTTTGGGGGTATCCTGTGAATTTTTAGGGGCATGGTTCCAGGACTGAAAGAGTGAGTGGGCATGTGGCACCTGGGCACTAGTAACAGCCAGAATAAGGACTGCAGCTTCTGGGAGAAAACTTAGACTGGCAAGGGTAAGAGATAGACAGCTCAGGGGAAACTCTGACACAGGAACCCAGAGCCAGGTACAAGGTAAAGACTGAATCTTGGAGCTGGGTAGAAGGACGTGGTTTAGAATAGAAACAGAAAATTTAACCTGGGCCAGCTCCAGGGCTGAGTGACCCCTAAGTGTAGAGCAGAGCTCTCCCCATTCCTTCTACCTGGTGTCAAGAGACAGCCTTGGGCCTGAGTAGTCCCAGCTCTGTGGAGAGATCTGGTAACTGGAAATAGACAGTGCTGATTTGACTCTGTGACATATTAGCACTTCTGCAGAAAATACAGGGGCTTTGTGGCCCATCTTCAGACTCGTGCACAGGTTTTGAATAAGAGTTTGAATGAGTGCGCATGTATCATCCATGTCCTCTATTCCCCTGTACCATGTTGCTTTAAACTTCTCTCCTCTCAGATTTGCAATTATACAAAAAAAAAAAAAATGGTATTTTTACATCAAATTGATTTGGCATTATATACCTGCTGAAATGCATACCATATTGGGTTTTACTAGAAGACAATGCATTTCTCTTTATTTAGATTCAAGGAACCACAAAAAGACTCTCGAAGGAAACAATCAGAACGTACACACGTACGTGTGCATAGTTGTAGTCCTATCTAGGTATATACACATGCAGGGAAGCAAGTGAAAATATAGCGTTTCATTCATTCATGAGAAGAGGCTACTTAGATAAACTGAGAAACAAATTCAAGAACAAGGAGAAAAAGTGTCTGTCTGTAGTGAGTGAGCCCGAGTTTGTAAGTCCTGAAAAATATCCTAGAAAAAAGATAGCTAAAAGTTAAATGCTAGGTGCTAACTAGGGTTAGGAAAATTATTTATGAACAAATTATCTAGAAAATACATCATGGACCAAGTGGAGATTACAGGCAGAGGCAGACACCATCTCATATAAGACAATGGAAGCTCTGAGCAGGTGTTGAAACTAAGAGTACTTTTAGGTTAAAGACTCAGAAAAACACCTCCACCCCACCCCACTTCCATACAGTACGTAACAGTGCAGAGAAACACTTGACTGGTAAATGCCATTTTTGTGCTCTTGCGAATAGGTAATGGTTTATTGACATAATTAAATTCACATAGATAAGTGAATTCACGATGATTTGTTCATTTTAAAATATCCAGAAAAGAAAGCAAGATGTATCTGAAATAAGTTTTGGGGATGTTAGAGAATTCTTTTATAATGTTTGTGACTTAGATTTAAAGAAAAAGAAAAGCATACAAAGTTTAAAAGGTAATGTGAGCCAATGCAAAAGTACATTGTTTTTGGTGGCATCGCTCTTGCTGTTGAAGTTGCTTGTTCTAACGGGCTTGGGTCAGTCGAGAAGACCTCACATTATACTGTGTTATAACCCAGCTCTTATACTAGAAAAAAAAAAAAGAGTTCAAAATAGACCTTTTTCTTTTTTTCTTGCCTAAGTTTTCCTTTTTTCTGAAACTACTTCTATACCTGTTCTAGTGTTAAAATGTTTTTTCGTGTTTCGAAATGGCCAGAAGATGGCAGCGTTTGAGAATCTTCCACACAGTTCTCTCCTGAGAGCTACACACCCGCAGGGGTTCCTACATCCCAGCCCCCCCATACCTATGGATCCCTCCTTATTATTTCAGTTCGACAAGGAATCAAGAGCAGAATCCATCAAAGAAATAATTGAAGACACCCTGGGAAGAGGGGACTGAGGTTCTAAAAAATAAAAAAATAAAAAAATAAAATTCAGCGTTTATAATGTTCAGTCTACTTGAGCACCATATTTCCATGTCCTTGGCCTCAATGTCCCTAGAACATGGTCACCTTGTAGGAATCTACTAGGACCACTCAGTCGGCTCACTTCTAAGGGACAAATAACTTCTCTTTGTGGCCAGCCACACTGTAGTCCCTGCTGTGACTCAGTTATGGGGAAAGAAATGAACCAGGAGACCTAGGTTTGCGATCTGACTGCCATTTTTTGACCTTGGACAAATTGGTTAACCATTCTGTGTCAGAATACTTTATAAAAGAAGTCCTTCATGGTCTCTAAGATCTTTTCTGATTTTAGAAGCCATAATTGTCATCGCCTTTTAAGCCCTCTTTCCAACATCAATCATGCTTCAAACACTCTTCTAACTGATTCAAATGCACTCGCACCGAAGTTAAAGCAATTGGAGACTTTTGCTGTGCGACATATGTTCTTCGGTATAAAAATTAGAGTATAGAATCAAAACCAAACTCTCCAGAACCAAAATGTTGGAGAGTTTTTAATATAAAAACTACATTCTTGGAAAACATTTCCATTATGACAATTCCAATAAAAATAGCTATCAGTCTGCCAGGATCTTGGCCATTGGTTTTCGAAAGGGTGAGGAATCTGGAACTTCTTAGTAGCAGGGCTGGGAGGAATTAACATAGCGGTAAGATTGGTCTCCATAAAAGGTAGAAGAAGAAAAGTTTAAAAAAGGCCTGACTGTGAAATCAGTTTCCTTTAAGCCCCGCTTCATGCTCTCCACTTCCAGCTGATTGCTAGCCTATCTGCAAGGGATGCTGGGAAATGTAGGGTTTTTTTTTTTTTTCATGAGATACATTGTTCCCCTAAGATATTAGAATTTTGTTTGTAAGAATGAAGAGGAGAAAGATAGTGGGTAAGCAACTGGCAGCCTCTGCTACACTAATCAGGAAAGGCTTCTAAACCCATGGGCCTTGTAGAGAGAGCATTTGGCTCCGACTAGCATTGATATCACTCAAGGTCAGATGGGTAGAGATGCTGGGGTTTTGGATTATGGATCTATTTAAAGCATGATCCAACCTGGACTAGAAAACAAGGGATATCTGGTAAGAGCTCAGCAAATCAGCAGAGTGCCTGACAAATGGACTAGGCTTGGTAGCTGCAAGAATATATTTAAATAAAGAAACCAAGGCAAAAGCAAGTCATACAGAGAAAGTAAGATTTAAAGAATAATTCACATCACAAGCAATGAGGAGCAGGATTAGGAGGATAAATGGTTCAATTCTAGATTCCAATTCGTGGATGCATCGGTGCCTATCTATGCCTGCCTTACTCTGAACGGGCTTGTTAGCTGGCTGGAGATGATCCTGCTGATTTCAGCCACCAGGGACTGTGGTTAAGCTGAGCTAAGGTTAATAAAAAATATTCTAAGCAGACTCTCTGTTCAATATTACCGAGATTCAGAGTGAGGCAGGACTCAGAAACAAAGTTAAACGAGATAGATCCAACTTTTCTAAACACAAGCCCACACTCTGGCCCTTCCCTCCCCCCCTCCTCTGTCTACATCCCCCAATCCCTACCTCACCTAGTCCTCCAGACTGCCTTCCTGTTTCCAGGGCATCATGTCTGCAAGGGTCATCCAATGATTTCCGCCCTCCTGTCCCAACCAAGTACTGCTTCTAAGTTGCTCAGAGAAGCCAAAGGCTGCCCTCTCCCTGGTCTCTTTTCCCACACGTTAGCAGGAGGGGACATCCGTGAACCCAAGTGGGATGGCAGGCTCCGCCATGGTGAATTCTCACAGTGAATCAGAAAGGACTTCCTTCTCAGCTCTTTCTAATTGTTCTTAGTGCTCAGTCCACGAGATGGAGGCAATGAAGACGCTATGCCAGAGTTTCCGGGAGCATTTAGAGGAAATTGAGCCACCTCTTATAGGACAGCAGGCACTCTTTTCCAGGGACGTGTCAGAAGAGGAAAGGTAATTATCCAAGGGAGCCATAAAAGTAAGTAGCAGCCCACATACCTGGAGCAAAGAAAGGTAATCAGGGCAGGAGAGTTGAGCACTGGGGAGCAAGGCTAATGAGAAATTGGCCAGCTTCTCCTTGGCTTTCATGTTCTTGTTCTTGCTGTCTCAGTGGGAGTCTGTGAGAGCCATTTGCTAGATAACAACACCTACTCTTTAAAGCGGGGTGTCTGAGGTCAGAAGGTGAGCTGCAGCTGGAAGGAGGGGGTTAGCCAGCAAGAGACCTTTAATCAACATGAATGGGGCTCATCAAATGCAAATGTCAGGGTTTATTAGAGTTTCAAAAATCTGCATTATTTTCACATAGATTAAAAGTATGTGTCCCCAAAGTAGATTAGTAATTGCCTGAAGTTGAGGGGTAGGAATAGGGATTCACTGAGAAGGGGTGTGAAGGTTATTGGGGAGAAGGAAGTGTTTCAAAAATGCATAGCGATAGTCACACAACTTAGCAAATTTACTAAAAATCATCGACTTGTACTCTTAAAATAGGTAAACTTCATGGTATGTAAATTATTCTGCAATAAATTTTCTTTGAAAAAAATTAACAGTAGAGTTGTATAAAAAAAAAAAAAAAAAAGACCTGCCCTGGTAATACACCTATGTCTGAAACTGATACAAGTAAAGAAGGTGACATTCTCTTGTAAGAGATATCAAAGGAGTGACCTACGTTTTGAGAAGAACAATGGAAGACAGAACCTAGGGGTGACTTTGAAATTTTATTTTCTATTATTTATTCGCAGGAAGGAGGCCGAGCAACTGCAAAGTTTACGCGAGGCCCTGCGGCAGCAGGTGGAGGAGCTAGAGTTTCAGCTGGGAGACCGGGCTCACCAAATCCGAGAAGGGGCGCGATTGGTACGAGACACCGGGGTGGGGAGTTTGACCGTATCCGGCCCACCACAGGAGGGCTGCACTGAATGAGAAACCTGATTGTGAAGTCATTTCGGATGCTAGGGTTATGTGCCAACACCGTTCACTTAAGGATACAGAAACTGAAGCCCGGAGAAGTACGTTGTTTTGCTCAAGGCTACGTGGCTAGCCGATGGTGATTCAGGATTAGAGCTCGGGTCCCCTAACTCCCATGCTAATCTTCTTCTCTGCCCTGTAAATAAGAGATGAGTTTTATTAGCCCATTGTCCACACGAAACAAGAAACACAGCTTTTGACCAAATGTGGGCTAAGTCACGGCCAGAATCGGCTGCTAGTTCACAGAGCCCAATCTAGAGAATTCACTACCCATCATGCCTTTTCCATAAGTCTGAGCTAGCTGTTTGGTGTAAATATGGTAATTTGTCCATTCTTTTTGTTCTTGTTTTCCTTTCAGCAGCTTGAGCTTCTCACAGGAGAACTATCTGAACACTGTACGAATCTGCGTCAATATGACTGGTCAGAAGAAAAGAGTGGCCAGACTTCCTGCGCTAACATCCGCCCAGTCATGGTGCCTGGGGCTGCCTTTCCTCCCGATGATGGCCAGCAGGCGCCTTGCTCAGGTACAACCCATCTGGCTGCCTTTACTCCGCCCGTCTTGGAGAGCAGCACCAGGATGTCTCCTCCAGCTCAGGGAGAGTTAGGTCCTGCTCCTTTGACAAATTGTCTTATTGGAGAGAAGCATACAAATGTCTTCCACTAGATCAGAGTGGGTGTGGTGGCCTTCCTGCAAAATATAGGAGCACATTCTAGCCAGAGGAAGGATATCTAAATTTTCCCCAAGGAGAAGTATCTATCAACCCTTCATCCGCTATTTTTCTTTTAATATTCTACTCTGTGGTTAAACCCAGGAGGAACTCAGAATATTTTAATATTCATTTAACACAGAATAAGTGAGCACCTACTGTGTGCCTGGCATAGGGAATGTGTTGTTGGCCAAGGTATATACAGTAAGTCTTCACTTAATATCGTCGATAGGTTCTGTGACTTTAAGCAAAATGACATGTAATAAAACCAATTTTACCATCAGTTATACAATTGATATAAACAAGAGTTAAGTTCCTACTGCATCTCATCAATGCTGTAACAAAAAAACATCGAACAAAATTATGTCATTCGAGAACCTTCTGTATAGCTCAAGGTATATGTATGTGGTATAGTAGTCTTGGCCATGCTGTAACTTTCGGTCTACTGAGAGAGAGAAATTGTAAATAAATACATATGAATTTAAAAACTGTGAAACTGCTTTGAAGGAAATAATGGGGTTTTAAGGGAGTTCAGTTTAGATCAGGGTGTCAGGAGGGTCGGGGAGTGACAATAGAAGAAAGAGAGAAGATCCAGGCACCAAAGCCTTTCCAGAAAGCCTTGAGTCTGTGTGCCAGCCGGAAGGAAGTGTTGTGCCAGGAAGAACTTTGGTGCTGGTGACAGAACCATGCATCCAACAGACAGGATTTCTACTCACAGAGAAAAGAAAACAACCACAACAAACAAATAAATAAATTTCAATGCTGACGAGTGCTGTGGCAAAGATACTGTGGAGGGTGATGTGCGATTAAGAGTGTGCCGCATTCGTCAGGGGGATGGGGAAGGCTCTTTGGGTAAGACCAGAATGGTGAGGAAGAGGAAGCCATGAGGAATTCTGGGGAAGGAACGTTTTAAGCAGGAGGAACAGAAAGTTTGAAGGCCCTGAGACAGAAACAGCCAGAGTGGCTGAGGGCCTGAGTGACAGGGAGGGGTGGGAGAGAGGGCCTCTCAGAAGTGGGCAACTGGGCTGACTTGAGGCTGGAGCCTGAGAGGCTGGATTCTCCTTCCGAGTGTAAGAGAAAGCCACTGGAGGTTCAAAGCAGGGTCATCATATGATCTGATTTGCATTGAAAGTCACCGCTGACTGCTTTGTGGAGAAGGCACAACTATGGACTTGGAGCTGGGCAGAGCTCCCAGCTAGGAGGATGTTGGCATAGTCCCGTGAAGTGAGACGCAGAGCCGTCAAGTGGCTTCCATCCAGCTGAGGAGGCTTGCGAGGCCACCAGCCCAGCGAAATGCAGGGAGGTGTACAAAAGCCGGATGTACTTGTGGTCTCCAAGTACGACAGGAAGTCTAAGGAACGGGGAACAAGTGAATGGCAGAGTCAGAAAACTTCATAGAAGAAGTAATACCTTCTGGGAAGGCGTTATAACTCATATAAGAAGATGGGCAAGTAGCAAGAAAATTAAGAAGCTCTTTCTTTGGAAACTGCTTGTCTCCAGGACTGATCTCATAGCCCGCTTCCGTTCATCAATCCTCGTGGCTTCAGCAGAGCCCTCCTGCCCTTCGAACCGTCTTGCACCTTCCTCTGATGACTGTATTTTCTCAGAGAGTGGACGTCCCCCCTCCATCCTTAATTCTCTCCTTTTTCTCTCTCCACACCATCTTCCTCAGTATACACACTCATCTGCAGACATCTGGACCCCCAGTGCCCAGCTCTCTTCAGAATTCCCGTCCAGCATTTTCTTCTCTCTACGAGATACTTGTCTCAGGAAACAACTTTAGACAATCCATTTAATCTGAACAAATGTAGAGCCATGGGTCACCTATTTGCTTTCTCTGAAAATTCTTTATTAAAATAGGAATTTAGAAATTTCGATGGGTTGTACTTTGAAATTTAGAAAGGAAATAGATTTTCTTCTTGTCGTTGGTAGAAATTCCAACCCAATCACATTCACCTTCGTATCTATCACAACATCTGGTAACAATATCTTGCTCGTAGTCACTTCTCTGTAAATGTGTGTTGACATAAGAACTGCTTTGCCCTTCAGAAAACGATATTTTGAGATTTCTCTTCGTTTGTGCTCAAAGTGAGACATATTTATACATATATCTAGGAAAACTCATAGTCCACTATATCATATAACACTTCTTTTTACGGACATATGTTATGGACTGAATTTTACCACTCCCCCAAATTTATAACTTGAAGCCCTAATCCACAATGTACTGCATCTGGAGAGAGGGTGTTTAAGGAGGTAATTAAGGTTAAATGTGGTCCTAATGATGGGACCCTAATCCAACAGGACAGGTGAATTTATAAGAAGAGTACGAAACGCTAGAGACCTCTCTCTCTCTTCATATTTGCACAGGGGAAAAGCCATGTGAAGACACAGAGCAAAGGAAGCCATCTACAAGCCAGGAAGAGAATCCTCACCAGAAGCCAACACCGATGGCTACTTAATCTTGGACTTCTATCCCCTAGAACACTGAAAAAGTAAATTTCTGTTGTTTGAGCCACCCAGTTGTTGATATTTTGTCATGGCAGCCCCAAGCAGACTAAGATTTTTGTGTCGTAAAGTGGAGTGCTGCTGTAACAAATTTTCTAAAAATGTGGGAGTGGCTTTGAAACTGGGTGATGGGTAGAGGCTCAAAGAGTTTTGAGGTACATGTTCTCTTCCCAAAAATCTTTCTCATTTTTTGCAATATGAATAGCCTGACAATTTCCCAAATCTTTAAGTCTGATTCCTTTTTGCTTAATAATTCTTTCAATTTATCTCTCTCATCTTGCATTTTACTATGAGCAGTAAAGAAAAACCAGGCTGCACCTTCAACACTTTGCTTACGATTTCAGTTAAATACCTAATTTCATGGCTTGCGTGTACTACCTTCCACAAAACACTAGGACACAATTCAGCCAAGTTCTTTGCCACTTTTTTAAAAGAATAGCCTTCCCTCTAGTTCCAAATAGCCTCCTGCTCATTTCCACCTGAGACCTCGACCAGATTGCTTTTAATGTACATATTTCTACACGCATCCTGCTCGTGATGGCATGTGTACTCAGACAATAGAAGCTTTCTCTCCAGTTCTCCTCTTTTCTTCCTGAGGCCTCAGCAGAACTGCCTTAAACATGTTTCTAATAATAATTACTTCAAGGCAATCTAAGCTTTCTTTGGCATGCACCTAAAAAGAACTACTTTTCTCAAGGCCATGTCCACTTTCTCAGGGCAACCTGCATCTAATGACTGGTTGAGATGTGGGTATGTATGCCAAGCCCTCCTCGCCTCAACTTGGAACAACTCTCGAGGGCCACTGGCTTCAGAGTTCCCCATGGGGGTTACCTGAGATCTTTGTTGTGACTAGGGCCCCATCTCTCCCTCTGCAGGTAAAGCGTCCTTCTCTCCTTTCACAGATGTTAATTCCAAGAGTACTCCTTAATAAACTTTACATCTCCACTTCAGAATCTGCTTTCTTGGAAACCTAATCTGTGAAACTATTTAGTTTGAGTTTTCTCAGAAGTAGATCCTGACACAGGGACACAAGTTCAAGTAGTTTGTTTGAAATGCGATCCCTAAAAACTCTAGTGAGGCCACAGGAAAGTAGGAGAGGGAAGAGATGAAAATCAAGAATGTGCTCTTTATCAAGCAAGTTAATGGTGGTGGGCACCCAGAGCTTAATCTCACTGGGGAAATCTGAGACCCGGAAGAGATCATGCTACAGAGTTACCCATCCAAAGGATGTGAGAGCTGGACTATAGATTCATCAACTCTCATCAGTCATTGGTCGAAAGCTGCTCTAAGAGCATTAATTCCCCAATATTGTCAGATTGCTCTGTGTGCAAGAAGAATTGGATCCAAGCCTCGATCAATGCACTGTAGGGTCTGGCAGTTGGAAACTTGGTCGGAATGGGGAAAAAAAGTAGCCAGAGGTATACGCGCTATAATAATTAAAACATTTAAGTTGCCCAAATACGCCAACAAACCACAGCAGGTTGTGTTCAGGTTTCTGCCTATTACTAGAGCATCTACTGCACTAGCTTCTCTACCATTGAGATGTACCTAAGGATAGTCAAGTTGAACATAATCTCCTCTTGAAACGATGTCTGCTTGGTTCCCTCTTTTTACTAAATAGAGAGACAATACCTCCTCCTTTGTGCCTCCAAGGTACCCTGTATGGACTGCATCCTTAATTCCAGTGTGCACGTGGCACTTAATTGCTCACATTTCCACCTTCCCCTGGACTTCAAAATAAGTTTTTTGAAGGGAGAGTTGAGTATCTTTTAGGAATCATGCATACTGAGCACGCTACACTAGCATGTGGTAGGGGCATTCGGTGAAAAATAAATAAATAAATAAACATCAGACCTGATCTCAGTTCTAAACTCCCTAGTGTTATTTTTATTGGGTATGGAAATGTACATTGACAGTATTTCAACACTTTAAAAATGTTATTCCAATATTTTGTTTTTTGTTTTTTTTCTTTTGACTGCATGGTTTCTGATGAGAAACCTGCCATCACTTGAGGCATCAATTCCTTATCTGTAATGTATTTTTTCTCTCTGGCCTTTTCAAGATTTTTTGCTTTGTTCGTTTTTTGTTCTATGATTACGATGAGTCAGAGCATGGTTTTCTTGGAGTTTATTCTATGTGAAATTTGCTGAACACTTTGCATCTGCAAATATGTCCTTGACCAAATTTGGGAAATTTTTAGCCGTTATTTCTTCAAATATATTTCTGCACCATTTTTTTCTCTTCTCTTTCCAGAACTGCAATAACACTGATATCAAAACTTCTGATATTGTCCCATAGTTCTTTGAGGCTCTGTTTATTATTTATTAAACTTTTTTTCTTCCATGTATTCCAGAATGGATAAATTTTATTGATCTACCTTCAAGACCATTGACTCTTTTCTTTCTCACCCCCATTCTGCTTTTGAGGTCTTCCAGAGGACTTTTTATTT